ACGAAAACCAGCTTTGAGCAACGGCGTAGTCGAACGGTACACACTCGGTAAGTAATCCTATAATTTTTTGTTTATAGCATAGTTTATACAGATTATTCCCAAAAAATTATACGTGTTTTGGAAATGTTGAGTGGAATTAGTCTAGAATCGGTTAATTTTATAGAAGAAAACCTTTCAAACAGCCTTAGTCCGTAAACTTCACACGTGTCGGGCTGCGATTGGCTCATGTATTTAATGATTCCTACAACGTAAAATTCGATTAACGTGGAACGTATCTAAGCGTTATAGGGGGTCTACTGTATTTCGAAGAAATCGGTCCTCACTGTACTCGGCTATAGATTGGTCCGATTAGGCTTTTGTTTAAGTAAAATTTCGGCTCTTTCGTCGGGGTTTTGTTTACGTCCCCGATTCTCTAATCGCTTAATTATTTAACTGCTTCTTAAGTAGAAATAAGTCGAAACCGGTTACTTCGTACTCGAATATTTGTAGTCTCGGGAAAAAAGTGGAAAGACAAATTTTAATGACAAATGGATACGTAAATCGTAAATTTAAGGAAAATAAATTCTAGAGCCTTTTCTGTACCTGGTGCATCTCTCTCATTCATTAAATTTAGTCGTAAATGACGCTGTCGAAGTAACGATTAATTTTTTAACATTATACAAGAATCGTACACGTTTTTTCTTCTACATCCCCTTAGAGATGGGACGTACGAAATCGTAATATCACCGGTTTAACATCGAAATCCGCGAGTAATTTAAAATCGGAGAGCGGAATAAATTTATCAAATATTTTAATGGATTTTTTAATTTCCGTTCACTTTTCGGGACTTTTGTTAAAACGTATCAGTAAATTCTTATCGGTTGGGTTAAGTTATAAATTTACTCGTTATTCACGTAATCGGCCAAATATCTAGCGGGCGGGCGGCTAACAGCCCAGAACCGGTCCTTGATAGAATTGGAATCTTTATATGTGTGCAGCTTTTACCCAAGGTTGTAGGCTTCCACCGGCTAAACCGGGTGAGGTTGGTGCTCAGTAAAGCGCGTGCGCAAATCTGGCTTTTTGGAATCTGAGGATACAGAGATTCCACTCCGCCACTAATATTCGATTATACAATAGCAATCTTATTATTATTTTTTTTTCACGTGTAGTATAGAAATTTGTAATAAGATACGTAATGCGGTTATAATAATATATTGCGCGATTATTTTCGTATGATTAAAATTAATATGTATTTATTTTTTATAAAATACGAGGGAAGCGGCGCTTCCACCGCTTCTAATGACGGCACGCCACTGATGAAATTACAATCTAGTTCCAGGCACTCATAATGGGACTATAGCAAAACCGTTAGGGCTGTGCCTTACATTTACAAAGGCCTGAAAAATATTTGTTACAAATATTTCATTTCACTGTTTCTTTTGTGTATGAAGAACTTGTCATTGTTTAAAAACTACAATATATTACAGTTTTAAAAATGCTTTCTTTCTAATATATGAAATCTTCAAAAAATTAAGTGGCTCGGCCCTTCTTTATTACTGATAAGTCCCGAATGCAATGCTGGACTATTAAAATTCATATTGTATTCATTAATAGAATGAAGGTGTATGGCCGATTACAATCATACAACATTTCAATTTTACAATAATTAAAAATATAAAGTGTTTTATAACAAAATCTCGTAACAGATGGAGCCACATACAATTTTATTTATTTTTCTTAATAATATAAAAGTTATTTTTTAACAGACTGGCCTGAGCCACCACGGTTTCGATTAACACGAGGAGTCGAGAATGAAGCCAGGACTGTATAGCGCGTGTTAAATTATGGACTCCGACTCGAAACTGTCCCCTATTTAGGTGTTAGACATGTGAAGAAACCTTAGAAAACTCCGCATGGCCAGTCCGTTGATGAGGCTCGAACCCACAGCTGGCTTCACGTGTTCGCTGGTTTTATTCACTCGGGTACAGTTGAGCCCAGTTTTCTAGTAAAGAGTACGTACAGATAATATTTCAGGAGTTAAAACTAAACATTTTTAATAAAAGCATAATCAAAATCACGGTGTTATAGCGACGAGGGCGCCCCTCACGTCTTTATAATCAATTGAAAAATCGATTTTCTGAGTATCGATTACGCGACCCATTTAGTGATTGTTTGTTTACGAAGTTCGTAGTTACAGATTTTCTGCGGAAAAAAATAATTTTAGGATTTAATTGAAAAAATGGTTTGCATTAAAACGTGCTGCTTTTGCTTTAAAAACACTAAAGATGGATCCTTGGCCTGTGCCGTGTTTTATATGGTACGTATGGTCCAATAAGTTGAGCTCAAGTTTTCTGTGACCTAGTTATGATTTAATTTTTACTAAAATTTATTTCATTTGTACTTATATACATAATATTTGAACCGATACATTTTAACTTTATGTCGTTTGTGAGGTTCAACTTAAATTTGTGTCTTGAAAACTTCAATTTAGAATATTTTTGAGTGATATTACTCTAGATTTTACAACTAATTTTAATTTAATCTTCTGTTTTTTTTTTTGTAGGTTATGTGTTTGATGAATGCAACTTTATGCATTTATGTGTTGAACAACGACGAAGTTATGCACACTGTTGCTCAAAATATTAAAATTGGAGAAGACTGTAAGAAATAATTTAATTGTTTCTAGTTAAATGAAGTAGTCACACTTAACCATTAAGTTTTTATTTTGTTTAAATGCTTAGATGAAAGGATTGCGTACATATCCCTGTTGACAGAAACGATAATTATGTTCGTGAGTAGTGTTTTACTTGCAATCGGAGTGAGAAAAGTAAGTTCAATTTTTATAATTACGTTTTTATTTTTACACAAGATTTGGTAGGATATAATGTAAAAACTCTCATAAATCTATCATTTAAAAAAATTACGGACAGGTATACAAATTGTACTGAAAAGTTGTGCTGAAAGTGCATTTCTTATACATTCTATGGACATAAATTCGGTTTTATGCATATATTTTTTAATTTAATGCGTAAAAATTTATCTTTTGTATAGGATAATCGTTACCTCTTCTTACCTTGGATGTGTTGCGCGGGTCTCGAATGTTTTGGCTTAATTGTCCTCATACTTTTAATTACGTATTTTATTATGATTTCAAGTGTAAGTGCATAATCTTTATTTCTAAATTAATTTATTTACCAATTGCTCCATTTACGGTGTATTTACAGGTTTATCCTGTCTTTGTAATTGTTCTTTTGATTTTGCTGTTTGGAATTTCATTTGTGGTGAGTCTTTACATCTTTCACATTTATAACATTTTAATGTCTATCTATACTTATTTCAAAGAGTCTATGAAATAATAAATAATAAATTTTTGTTTTGTTTTACAGCTCTACATGCTGTTGTGTGTCTCGTCACAATACCAATTGCTGGCTAATATGCCACTTCTCATCACTTACAAAATTTTTAACACATGCAGCAGCTACGAAATAGACAACAGCTTGACACGTGACTCCGTGTTATTGAGTACCTAATAGTCGATTCGTCGGAATGCCTGTTGTTGTTACGATGAGATGAGTCTGCTCCACCTAATATTTGAGTAATCTTTCATCTGTGAGCATAAATTACATATACAAATCAATAATAGTGAACTTTCTAACGTTACGGATTGGGTGTAAAGTAACTAGGCATTGAGAAATCGCTCTAATTTCTATATTTCTAAAGCATAAATATGAAATAATTTTCTTCTTGTACATTTCTAAATGGAAATTTAGATTAGTCCCTCAAAAGTCAATGTAGGCACCGGCGCCATCCAGTAACTTCCTGTAACAAACGGGGATTGTGATATGGATGGACGTCCACTTTTCTATGCGGCCGCAACCAAACTTGCGTTCATTAGTTGCGAATGACAATTGTTGACTGTTTCCGAACGGATTATTCAATGATGTCCGTACTCCACCATGCTGTACAGAAATGTATAGTATAGCAATCAAAGATTTCCACATCTCATTGCTTGCAACAATCATTGCTGGCTCCCGAACAGACAATCGGTCGGCTATCTATTTTGTCATTACACTTGCGGACTCTCTCTTCACTGTCCATAATACCGATGCAGAAATTATAAAATTTCATTGACGTTTGTGCATGATCATATAAATTTTATTAGTATTGTGTTAATATTACAAAAATTGTAGTGATTTTTTAATGCCTACTGACTTTCCATCCATTTTGTAGACATTACTCATTCTTACGTGTGTTAGTATTGTTGAACGATATTAGTTTTAATGAATACAAATGTATAAGCATTAAACTTAAAAGTAAATATTATAAATCTAAATGTGGATTTTATTATTAACGTAACAATTAAAATGTACTGGGATGCATAACAGTGAACGAAGAGATTTTGGTATTTTTCTATCTGGACGTGTATTTAAGACAATTGTTTCTTACACTTTCCCATGTTTCTGCTAGCTTCAATCGTTTGTAACACACATACACAAGAAAATAGTTTTGTACTGTTGTATAATTGATTAAAGTATTGATTTTACTATTATTTTTATGACACTGAACTATATTTTAATCTAGAATTACCTCCTCGTGTTTTATCACTTACAAAACGTCATACAGACGTAAATTGTTGTATTGGTTGTTTGTAAACTTCAGTAGAAAATAGAAATTTTATGTAATTTTTGTCAATGTGATGAGCAAGACACGGGGTGGCCCAAAATTTAGTTACCCGTTCAATATGCATTTGATAATATGAATCGTATATTAAGCTTAGACCATTGTATTTTTCTTGTACAGAATAATTTCAGCAATTTAGTATTGCGGTTAACTGACTTTTAGACCATTTTATATATTTTTGTATGAAAAACAACTACACAAAATGATGTATTTTAACGTAAATCTGTAAAGTTTCTGAAATTTAATAATAAATCTCACTTTGCAATTATAATCGTAACTCATACACTTTACACACGCAAAAAATTTCATTAAATTAATTATGTAAAGCTTTAAAAACAGATCTTCGCAGATGTGAGGGCCTGAATAAGGTTAATTTTCTCAAAAGGCCCATCTAAACATGCCAGACTAAATAGTTTCTGGAGCTGGAGTCTGGTATGTTTAGAGAGCCCGGCAAGAGCATTAGTGCCTCGGAGAATAAGTGTAACTACGGTCGTGATGCCCATTATTGTTGGATTGGATTATTCTGATAATGACTTTTATGATAAACTGACCCCTATTCAGATGCCAGACAGGCGAAGAAACCCGAAAATCTCGTGGTTAGACGCGAATCCGCCACCAACTATCCGTGTTCACTTGGCCAAAGATGGGTACCCATTGCATTTGGAACAACCTTCAACAGAATGGAGAACGATGCCCGATCTCACTTCACAGTAAAGCTACCAAGATAGATGAGGATATGGATCCGTAATTCCCATGATAATCTACGAGATCCAGATCCGAATTCACACAGTTATAAATTGGCATCTTATCGCTTGGCCCAATAGCCAACAAGACATTGTATAATCTTTAAGAATACAGTTAAGTCCATTAATCCGAACTAATTGAGACCAGTGGTAGTTCGGGTTACCAGGGATATAATAAAAAGGACATGATGTTTACGCTTTCAGGCTATTTTTACTGTTATAAGATTCTTTACAGCAGCAAATAATGGTTAGAATTTTTGTTAATGAGCAGCAATACACAAAACACGACTTATGTTTACACTTGAACTGCAGTTGTACGGTTTACATCATTTTAGGTAGGTAGAAGCTGTTCGGATTACAACGAGTTCGGATGACCAAGGATTCGGATTAGCGCGACCATACTGTAACATGAGTTAAGCCCACCAGTGGCCAAGTGGATAAAACTGCTGAGTACCTGGCGAACGGGCTGTCCAAGTGAAGTTTTACAGGATTTCTTCACGATTGTAATGTCCAAATAGGGACCAGTTTCTCGTAAAAAGTCCTCCTTCGGCAGATCGCGCATTACCTTATACAAACAGACTATAATATGAATTTTTAATAATTGTTTAACCTTTACAAGTAAATTCAAGAGAAATTGGAGAATGGCTTATACAGCATACACCGACGAAAGCGCCCCTTGCGCTTTTACGAACAATTAGAAAATCGATTTCTGAAATATCGATTAGTCGACTCACGTGATGATTGTTTGTTAAAATTCGCAGTTATACATTTATCTCGAACGGAATTCTTTCACAATTTAACCCAAAAATGGTTTACATGAAAACCTGCTGCTACTGTTTTAAAAACACTAAAGATGGATCCCTGGCCTGCGCAGTCTTTTTTATGGTACGTTTCACCCATTGTCTTCCACATAATTGTATTCTGTGACGTTATTATGATGTATTTTTATGTGTAAAAACTCATTACTTTAACTCGTAGTCACTTTATATTTACTTATCTGCAAAATAATTCGGTCGATATACTTTAATTTAGTGTTGTCGTCTCCCAGAACACAAGTTCTGGTGTTTAAAATGTCGATTTAAAATGATTTTATATAGAGTTAAATATAGAATATTTGAGTGGAGACGAATTTTATTGACGTCATTTCTTTATTAATTTCGGATTTATTATTTTCTATTAATCTTAAATTATTTTTAAAAACTGGCAAATTTAAAACGCATTTAGTTGCATAAACACGCGTATCGATTATTGTAAATAATTCCTTCCAAATGCTTCCTTAATTGTTAATTTATAGTGTTTTGTGCATTTTAAATACTTTACAACGGCGTGATTTAATTTAATTCAATTATTTATTGTCATATTCATTGCAAAGTCACACATAAGTTACAACAGACACTTTATTTTACTTACGAGACATTAATTTCAATTATTACATCACCCGCATAATTAATTAAATAACTAAATTGAGGAAAAGTGTTACTTTAATGGGCATTTTTAACACATTTTCTTCTCAAGTTCTAGTGTTATATTAAGCGGAGGGCAAAACACTATCTGAAAGATCCATTGTGCACCACGTCTTTGAATAGTGGTAACAGTCTTCTGGAGAAGAGACGGAAGATGCCATTTGGACTCAAAAAGTATGAGTTTTCTAGAAGAAATGAGAGGAATTCGTGTTAATTTTACCCTTTGTAATTTAATTTTATAAGATACAGGATTGCTAAAAAGTCTTCACGCCTACACAAAGGATCGAATTTGGTTGGGTTGATGAACTAATGCAACACCATTCTGCCATATTCAGGGCTTTTCTGGAACTGGCCCATGTTTAGGTGTTAGATCCCAAAAAACTATCGGTGAGGTACCCATTGTAATTACTCATAAGTCTCAGAATATGATGTAAGAAGATAATATTCAGATGAATGCAAGTATAAATGTATTGCTCTCGTGTATGAAGTGTACACGTATACACGTCTGATGTACGTTAGTCTCCATACAAATAATAAACATTGAAGGGTCCACCTGCCTATGATGCCTCCAACGGCGTGGGCCTTCTTGTATGTAATTGGTATGAAGAATTTTCTTTATAAATAATGTAAACAACTTCTTTCATAACCAGTTTAAATTCGGAATTTGACTCAGAGTTTCTGGTATGTTCAGGTGTTGTCGATAAGTGTTCAAGTGAACTTTTAATTAAAAATATTCGTTTAATCCAAAAGAATATATATAAATTTAAATATTGAAAAGATCGAAATCGATTCGAGTACATGATTAACTTTACAAAAATCACTGGAAAAGGCACAAACGTTGCAGAGTAATGTTGACACGAAATGTCCTTGGTTATCGACTCTACGACAATCTCTCACGAGTATTCTGCACTCAATATAGAAATTCAAATTGGAAAATCAAAAAAGGTTCAAGATGTATCTATCATTTTACCCCACTTTTTATATCGATCTTATTGGAAATTCAAATATATATTTTAAAGCAGGCTTGCTACCTTTTAGCCTTTTAACTAAAGTTTCAATCTTACAGGACTTTAATACTTAAATAGGGTCCAGTTTCTCATAGAAAATTCTTCTGGCAGATCGGTTTTGTGTTGCGTTATCTTATTCTATAAATCCAATAAAGTGGGTTGGATTAGATTGATGGAATAAGGTAATGCAACACATCAAGAGGGGTGCCACTCGGGAAGAGATTTTCCTCTATAGGAAACTGGCTACTATTTAGGTGTTACAAGCGTGAAGGTGGGCACAAATCCCCCACAACTACCAGTTTTCGGTGGGTTTATCCACTAGACACATTAACATTAATACATAATTAAACAGAATTGGTTTATACACTTCTCTATCAAGACCATTTCTCTAGAATGCTTATTAATGTTCATTTCAAGAAAGATAATTGTGTTTTTCCATGTAATTATGGTTTTTTGATCCACATAAAACACGGTGCTGATAGAGACTCGTAACTTCAATGATTGATAGAGTAACTGAACGCTTACAATATACATCAATACTCGACCTTAATTCGATAAATTTAGCCTTCTAAAAACGAGTGCAGCTACGCACCTAAAATAATAATCCAATCGATAATCTTTTTACTCACATTTAAAGAATTACAGCCGTGTTTTTGCTGTAAAGGAGTAAAAATCGAATCCTTCAGTACGTGGAAGCATGCAATATGCAAATATTAACAATTTTATTGCCTTTTTTTCTTTCGTTTACATTAGAATACAGACAAGATTATGAGTTCTGTAATGAAAGATAAGGGAGTGGGCCGGATACGATCCAATGATACGGACATGAAAACCGTATACTACGGCATTAATCTGTATGCCAACAGCTTGTTGTAATATGTTAATCGGCATGCCAATCTAATGATAATTAGGCCTGTAATGAAGTATTATAAATATATATTTGAATTTATTTTACAGTAATTTCTCATCTCTTCGCAGGTTATGTGTGTGATAAATGCAAATTCCTATATTTATGTACTGAACAACAAAGAAGCTTTGCATTCCGCATCTAAGATGCTTAACATTGAAGAATATTGTAAGTTGTTTTGCAACTTTAGAACTGTTTTTAATAATTAATCATTAATTTTGAATTTTTTAGCGGCAAGGAAGATGTACGTGTATTATCTGATTGAGACAGTAATTGTCTTCTTGTGCAGCCTCTTACTTGGATATGGTGTAAAAACGGTAAGTGGGTTGTAAATAATTTATTTTTTTCATTTTCACGCAACATTTTATAAATAATTTAATTGGAATTGAATATTCGGAGACGAATATAAGTGAGAAAAGTTACGGTTAATGTATCGGTTATCGAAATTACAAAGTAATTTACAGAGAATTCCACTTCCTCTTACCCGTAAAAGCCGTGCTGGGAGATTTTTATATGAAAATATTATTGAGAAATACTTTTAAAACTTCATTAAAAATGTATCTTCAAGTAAATTGCACGCATCGTGGATATTCTGAAAGAATTTTTACTTGAAATTACCGAACAGACACCTTTGCAAAGCCAATTTAACAGTGTTTTCGACTAAAAACTACCTTAATATTAATCTTAAATATATTTTTCTTTATTTTTTCAATACATTCAAGTTATTTGCTTATCTTGGATGTAAATATTTAACAGTAAATTTAATAAAAAACCATAATTATTTGAAGTTTTACTTTATCCCACAAGTATATCTACAAGGCTAACTAGTTCTTCCACTTGTACTTCCATTTGCAATAGGTTAAACCACCTGAAAGTAAATTAAAATTAATTAACAAAAAATTGATTATATAACGTAACATTTTAAATAATTAAGCTTTTATATACTCATATTTAAGAAAATGGCCAAGAGCTATAGATAAGGCCTATATACAGAATAATTCGGAAGAAACAATAAGTCTTCACATCTTATCCTTTCTTCATTACTTCGGGAATAATTAATTTTTGTATTGATTGAAGTATTTTTTCAAATATTGTGATTTTGCCATCACCTGGAATTTATTTTTACACGTTTTAATTAATGAGGTAGACTTGCTCTAGGCATTAGTCTCCTGGTCTTCCACTTTGTGATTTATCATTAAACGAAAGCTATTCCTTTAAACTTCATCCAGTTTCTAATTGTATTCTTGTGTGATGCATCTTTATTGTGGTAAGAAGAAAATTTCTTTTAATTTCATTTACTTCCACCGACAACAGTAAGATTTCTATTCTATTCAGTCGATTCCCTCCTCTATTGATGCCGTTTATATGGAAAACTAAAATAAAGAACCTAAAACGAACAAATTATTTTATTAAAAAACAAAAATTCTCTGAAGCGCTTTACGTATCGTTTTTTATCTCCTAAACAACACTTTAAATGACTGTATTTCTCATAAGCAATACGTCACCAGTGGCCGAATGAATGCAATCACTAAACACCGGTAGTTAGTTCACGGCTTATCAAAGGATTGGTCACGTGAATTTGAATTTTATCGCGTGTATTACACCTAAACAGGGCCCAGTTTTCTATAGAGAGTCCTCTTTGAAGTTGCCCACTTGGTAGATTGTCCCGGTGCAGATCCACTTTAATGCATCGATCCAATTTAGCTAATTTGATCCACGTATTTCATTAATAAATCTTAAATCTTTCTTGCGTGTAGGATAATCGCCACCTTTTCTTGCCTTGGATATGCTGCGTGTGCCTCGAATGTTTCGGTTTTGTTGTCATCTTCACCTTCATCATATATTCTAGTGCAGCGTGGGGGGTAAGTTACATATATTTTACACTTAAATAAAATTAATAATTCATTAAAACACTCACTAATTGTTTCTAATTTGTAGTTTCATCCTGCCTTGGCAATTATCGTCTTGTTTTTGCTATTTGGATTTTTATTTCTGGTGAGTATCCTCTTCAATTTAACACCGTTTACGTCGAAGATACGGTAGAAATTAATGAGTACGACGTCGTTTTACAGGTATACATGCTTCTGTGTGTTTTGTCACAATACCAATTGCTGGCCAATGGACCACTTCCCGTCACCTACAGAATGGCTAACACAACGAATACCTACGAAATTGACAATGGAACTTACCCGTACGGCATGGCAAACGTCACACCTAATTACGGAATGCCTAGTGGGTTTAATCCCTACGGAATGCCCACTATGTATAATGCTGTCGTAACAATGAATCAACCTGGCCCAAACCCGTACGACAAATCTGTACCAGTTAATGCTTACATGATGGCCAATCCCGCAACTGCAAACACTTACACCTACGGATCAGGTAATGCTTACGGTGTAAGACCATCGGCAGCAGTCGACACTGTTTAGAAGGAAGTGTTTATTTAAACAATTTTGGAAATGTAAATTTACATTCGACTAATTTAATGTCCGGGATATACTTTCTACGCAAAAAAAAAATATATCAAAAGTAATTACGAATATTATTATTTTTTTAATTGTGTAAGGTCATGGTTACTATTAAGCATTCAGGATTATAGTTAAATAATACATAGTTGCTGAATTAGTGTTAATTACTTAGTTAAATGTTAATTTTCTAAAATAATTTATTAAAATATAAAAAAAATTCTGTGAATATTTCATACAAAACTTTCAAACACTACCTTGGAATCTCTATAGACTACGTCACACACACTCATGGATGTGTTAATGTTGTGAATAATGTTATTTTTAATGCCTTTTTTGCAACAAAATCGAGTAAAATTCTGTCACTAATACTTATAAGGACTAAAATAGGGGTGGCCCAAAAGTAAGTTAACCGGGCCGGTTAACTTACTTTTGGTCCACACTGTATATCTTGCGTATTTATTTAAAGCTTAGTGTTTATCGATGTTTCCAGTATTTAATCGTTTTTGATAAATATATATACGGAAGTTTCTTTATAATTTTTTTATAATTAATACAAATAATTTTTATTTGCACTTTTATAAATATTAAAATAGAAACTAAAATGACATAAAGAAAAAAAAAACAAATTGTAATTTGCTATTTTTTGATGCGAGTTAATTAAATGAAATGCTTATAAATCGAGTTAATATTTTTATATTTATAAAATTTCAAATTATAAATTATTAATTATTATGCATTAATTGTTGAAAATAATATGAATATATTCTAATCAAAGGTTGAATAAAGTAAATGTATATTTTTTCCCATAGATACGAACCTGTTCTAGAATAAATTATAAATTTTTATGTAAAATTATTATTTTTTAAGAAATGGCACAGATGTACACAGTTAAACCTCTGAAAAACGGCCACAGACTGGAAAGTGGCCGTTGTTTGCGGGTTATTTTGTATGCAAAAACAAACCGTTCCCGAAAAGAAAAAAAAAATGGCCGTGTTTAGCGGAGGTTTGTCTGTATTCAGCTTTTATAAATGGTTTTATTCCACCGATTTTCAGTTAAATTGTTAATTTCTCTATTGATTGTATGTAAAGTTTAACAGATCTAAATTCTTTTGTTATTACCAGTAAAATACAGCGTGTCCTAAAAGTCAGTTTGCCGTGTTTTGCGTTTGCAAGAACCACTTGTAAAACTGAGTTTAAGGCAAAAAAAAACTAGGTACAATTGTTTATGAAATAAGCTTTGCAGTGGTTTACTGACTTTTGGGCCTCCCTGTATGCTTACTTACGAAAATAATTGCTGTATCTTAATAAATAGATGATCTATAAAGTTTAATGTTTTATATCAATCTCACTTTACTGATAGACTAGTTATGGCTTTAAGTTTTAAATTTATAACGTGAGGCTTTAAGCAGGCCCTGCGTAAAAAAGTCTATCTGCTGGAATTTTCCTTGATTAACAATAGGCTTCCCTTTGAGACGGTCAGTGTATGCGGATAGTAATTCATTGATAACTTTACTACCAATTGTATTTAGGCCATATTTAGATATTTATCATTGAGGGGCGTGGAAGCGTGTAGTTGATTTTGTCGACATATCTATGGCTGATACCCGTAGTTCGTACAAAGTGCCGGCCAAGAGGGCTAGCTCTCTTCATTCTTCTTATCATGGCCCTTTTTTATATTGCTATATTTCTGTAAATTCCAAGGGGAAATGTTAGTGACAGAGTGGATAACAGTGGTAGTTAGTAGCGGATTCGCACCAACGAGCTGGCCACGTGGAGTTTTCCCTGTTTTGGCCACGTGTGAACACCTAAATAGGGTTCATAAAGGGAACGTACGAAGGGTTGTACCTTTAACGTTATATCCGATGTCTATAAATACCAGTGGCATAACCAATTGTTGTGAAATGACTACGATGTGGATCGTCACTTAAAACATTTGGATAATAATAGATAAAAGATTTATATATTATACAGTGTTCCACGAAAATTCGACTCGAAAAACCTAAAAATAATATATTTGAAAAACAACACAATATACATTTAAAATGGCCGCTTTCATTTTCGAGACATTCGTGCACAATGCATTGAATTGTGTGCCTTGCTTACAGACTGGGAGTTTCAGGTTGCATCATTCGCGCATCTGCTTTTGGGGGTTTAGGTTGCATTTTTTGTGGATCATCGATATTTTTAAACTTGTCGCGGGTTCTTAGCAATCTTATTAAGGATTCGGTCGAGTCCACAATGGGCGGCCGCGTGAGGGTGAAGATGAGACCCGACGAGGGCAAAAATTTCCTGGGGGTTTTGACCCATTCGGATTTGATTCCGAGTCTTCAGGCGATAGTTTCCACCTTAACCGCTCGGCATTCAATCTAATTTTTTAAATAATCTATTTCACTGCTTTATTGAAAAACGGGCCCACCAGTGGCCAAGCGGTTCTGTTCCCTGAACACTGGGAGTTCGGTGGTGGGCTCGGACGGGCTAGCCACGTGGAGTTTTCCGGGTTTTCTCTACGACTGTAACGCCAGTTTCCCTTAAAAGACCTCCCAGAAGGCATTACTGTATTTCCCTCGCGTAACACCACTATCCAGAGCAGCAACGGGAACCACTCCGGTACTAACTTCCCCGAGACTCACCTTGGCGCAACACTAATCACTAATTAACCTGCTCTAGGTGCTCGTCGACGTCAGGTTGACCTGATACGGCATGAAGAAGAATTGAAAAACGATAAAATATAAACGTTCACAAAACTTCGAGTATTTGAAAACGTTTGGTTCATTACGAGGGAAATTGTATTGAAAGAATGCTAATTTTATGAAAACTTGTCCGAATATTATATCACGTTAATGCTTCTTCTGACTTCCCTGAAGACAAATCGAAGAGTTTGAAAGCGTTCTGTGGGCGTTTTACCTTTTAATGTCCTCCAGTAAAGCGGCAAAATACACTGTTGGCCATTAAAATTTCTACACCATGAAGGCGGCATGCAACAATTGCGAAATTTGCGCGAAAGGTACAACATGCTGGGTGCTCTGTACCTCAAGCTTAGATCGAATAAAAAGTCCATAAATTATAGGATATGTAACTTTACACCGTGACCACGGAACGTTTTGTATATCTTCTTGTATTGTCGCAATATTGTATTCTATAATCTACTTGTGAAGAAACCCAGAAAATTAAGCAAATACAAATTTATTGATATAATTATTTGCTTCTAAGCTTCGCTCCTCCTGGAAGATTTTACAAATAGGTAAGTGAACTTGTAATTATGACTTTGCAGTAGTGTTTATGGAGGGTAATTATCTAGTTGTAACTTGGAACAGGAATAATTTAAGTAGGCCTATAAACTAAATGAAATTTTATTAATTCAGTATTTAAATACAAATTAAATTGTCTAAAACTTGAATACTACAATTTCCTATCTCGGAATCTAAGTGTATAATTGCATTTTTAACGGGAGTACGATTATTCGGGGAAATATAATGGGTGGCCTGAAAATCAGTTAACCCGGATCTAACTTTGTTAATTGATCTTCGGTCCGTCCTTTACTTTACATGAAAAAAAAAATTAGTTAAGTACTTAATTGATTATTTTTCATGTAAAATAAAGGACGGTTCAAAATTCTAGGTTAACCGACTTTCAGGCCACCCTGTATATTTGCATAATTGTATAATTATAAGGCAATGATGAAAGTATTTTTTTATAACTTTACATTTTAATTAACACGAAGTTTTTGAAAGTCTAATTGAATTTATTTTTCATAAAAGGACGTCATTTATAACTTATACTTCTAATTATGCAATAATAAACGTAGAATGACGTCAATCATTCGGATGAGGTGAGCACCTTTGTATTTGCATCTTTAATTAATTTAGGGTTTTTATGCAGTGATTATAAAACAATTCTTATATCGAAAGATACAATCCTTAATCCTTATTCGATCTTTTTATATCTTTCCAATAAGAAAAATAATTCATTCTATTTTTCATCCCATTCGGAAACATGGAAAATTTTCGGAGTATGGATGTACCTGATTAAACAAGAAGGACTTCAATGTCATTAAATTTTGGAGGTTAAAGTTTGACAGGATCGTGTGTCATGTCTGGTGAGATGTGAGACTTAATGATTTTACTCGTTATTTACAATCGTTACCATCGAAATTAAGCGTTTTGCCATTTTATAAGAATTAATAATATAAAAGTTATTCTTTAAACAAAATCTTGTAACAGATGGCACCGCGCATAATTTTAATTCTGTATTACTGTTTTTCGCCGGGAAAGTTAGGTAACTCGTTGCTGGATATATATATATATATATATATTTTTTTTTTTTCAATTATTTACAAATACATTAAACACAACGTAAAATTTGAAAAGAAACTATGAAAGATTTATTGTTTAAGATTTACTACAAGTTAATTGGCATAAGGTTGATTATTAATTAATACAATTTCTGCTGGTTTAATCTAGGCACAATATTCGGTGTGTGCTTTTAAATGTGACTGGTGATGATTTCCTCATTTACGGTGAGGTTGGTAGCATTCTCCCATTTTGGTATGGCAGTGGCATGTTTTTGGAGGGTGATTCTTGTGGCAATGTCCGCACACGAAACCCGCCATCTGACAAGCCGCGTTGCAGGCGTTATCCTCTCGTATTTCGTCGTCGTATCCATCACAGAGTCCTCGTCCGTCGTCATCGTGCGATCGAACTACAAAAGAACAATGAAAATTTCGCATACGTCACCAGAAAACTTTGAAAATACAACTCAAACAATGCAAATTACCTTCCACCAACAATACAAAAGCCACCAAGAGTGTCAGCAGGACTACAGCCTTCATTTTGTCTGTAAAATTAACATATAATTTTTAATTAATTTACGTAATTATCTTCTTACAACCATTTTAATTTAGCGAGTATTAAAATAAATTTGTGACTTACCTCGATTATTATAATTGTTTAACAGTCGATGATCCTTTCTTTCCTTGTTGAATCTGACGACTGAGGTGGAGTGGTGCCATTTTTATATAATTTCCCACCAATCGGATTTTATTTACCTTTTTC